CAGCACTTGGGAGGCAGAGGCAGGCAGATCTTGGGATCCCAGCACTTGGGAAGCAGAGGCAGGCAGAGTTCAGGGCCAGCCTGGTCTACATAGTGAGTTCCAGGCCAGCTGGGGCTATAGGGAGACCCTGTCTCAAAAAAACCACACACACAAAAAAAGTCATCATGGTAGCAAATGTCTTTGATCTCAGCATTCAGGAGGCAGAAGTGGGCAAGTCTTTTTAAGTTCAAGGTCAGCCTGATCTTATAGTGACTTCCAGGCCACCTAGGGCTACACGGTGAGACCCTGTCTTAAAAAATTATCATTATCACCCAGAAAAAAAAAAATCATTATCAGAATCTGGGCCTGCAAGATGACTCAGCAGAAAGCCTGACTGACCTGAGTTCAGTCCCCAGAACCCACATAAAGGTAGAGGGAACTGACTCCATAAAGCTGTCCTCTGACTTCCACAAGTGTGCTGTGGTACACACATGGTTACACACACACACACACACACACACACACACACACACACACCATAAATTAAATAAATAAATAAATAAATAAATAACTTTTAAAATGTATTAAAGTAGCAACTTACTATTTTAAAAAGAAGTTATCATAGTGTATCAGTCTACAGGCCTGTTCCAACCTGTAGGCTGCTGGCCACATGTACCCCAGGATAACTATGAAGGCAGCCCAACACAAAATCATAAACTTGCTTAAAACATTATAAGATTTTTGTGATTTTTTTTTCATAACTTGAGTGTGTGATTCTTAATTTTTTATTTATTCTTATTTTATGTATATGAGTGTTTTGCCTGCATGGATGTAAATGTACCACATGTGTGCAATGCCCATGGAAGGCAGAAGAGGGCGTCAGATCCCCCAGAACTGGAGTTGCAGATGGCTTTTAGCCACCATGTGGGTTCTGAGAGCCAAACCCAAGTCCTCTGCAAGAGCATCCAGTGCTCTTAACTGCTGAGCCATCTCTCTAACCCCAAATGTGTGACTCTTACTTGTGAACTTTGTAGATGATAATATCAAAAGGTTAGACATGCCTAGGCCCCTCCTCAGCACAGTCAGGCCATTTCCAGCCCATGTCCATTATCCAGATAAGGGCAGACCCAACTGGATTCCTCCAACCAAGCCAAACTGAGCTAACATCCAACCTTCCCTGCATTTCTAGACTTGCCTCAGAAGTTTCATGGCACTGATGTTCACCTAGGATCTGTGATTGTGTATAACCAAAAGAAGATAAATTCCTTGCTAACCAACATGAATGTGTGCCTACATACTCTGTTTAATGCAGGCTGCTTAAAATATACTAAAAATCAAAACCACTTTGTGCACAGCAGCTAAAATGGCACAGCGATGCCCTGGCCTGAAGCTGTCTTTATACCTCCGCTCACTCTGATTTTACTCCACTCTGAACCTTTCCATTTAAAGATTTCCCTGTAGGCACTTCTCGCTCTATAAATCCTAAAACAGCCTGAGTCAAAAACAGTCTCGAGCTCTGCCGGGACCCTCACATGCTCCTGGCGACTTTCTCAATCAGGGGGGGTTCTCAAACCTCCCCATGCCCACCATCTCTGCTCTGTTAGACCCTTATGGATGGAAGCTTTCCCAGACCTGCCATGATGAGTTTCCTTTTCCACACATCCCTGGACTCTGCTATCACCTCTCAGCTCTGCCAGGACCCTTGCATGCCCCCAGGAGCTTTCCCAAACCTGCTGTGATTAACGCAGCTCTCAGCTCTCAGCAGAGAAGCTTCCTCAGGCAACAGGTGGTGATTCACACAGAGAACCACAGATGGCCAGTGAGCGGAGAATAAAAGGCTACAGAGTGCTCATCCCTGAATAGGACACCTACCTTTCCAGGTTCAGGGATCATTGTAGAAGAGGGGTCGGAAAGATTGTAAGAGCCAGAGGAGGTGGATGACCACAAGGAAACAGTTTTCCAGACAGCTGGTGACAGCATGAGAAGGTCCCACTTAAGCTCAAGCCAGACAAAGTTACAGCATAGATATGGGGAAGTGTGGAAGAAACCCCAACCTACCTGAGGAATGGACGGGAACTGATGCTTGCTGGGAGGGGGAGAGTCAATCTAGTTTAAGAGTAAAACTCTTGATAGGTTGACCAGGCTCCAGTGGGTGAACCCACATGGAAGGGCAATTGGGGACACAAACCTGACTCTATAGGCCTTTATACATACACTCTCTCTCTCTCTCTCTCTCTCTCTCTCTCTCTCTCTCTCTCACACACACACACACACACACACACACACTATACATATTAGAGTAGAGGAAATTGGATGGGGGTTTCAATGGGGTGCAGATAAGGGAGGTGATCAGTGATCTAAATAGAATCAAAATACATTGCATGAAATCTACAGAAATTCAATGAAAAAGGAAAAAAAAAGTCTCACTCTGACCTAACTAGTTCAAAAAACCAACTCAAGAAGAGTCAAGTTTGGGGCTGGAGAGATGGGTCAGCGGTTAAGAGCACAGACTGCTCTTGCAGAGGACCTGGGTTCAATTCCCAGCACCCACATGGCGGCTACAAACCATCCTTAACTCCAGTTCCAGGGGAATCCAAAGCCCTCTTCTGACCTCCACAGCAATGCACGACACGGGTGCACTCACATACATGCAGGCAATACACTCATACACATAAAATTTAAAATAATAATAATAACAATAATAAAATATATTTTAAAAAGAATAGTCAAGCTTGGGGTGAGCAAGATGGCTTAACAGGAAAGATGCTTGTTGTGTAAACCTGATCATCTGAGTTCAATCCCCAAAACCCACATGGTAGAAGGAAAGAACTGACTCCCGAATGTTGTCCTCTGACCGCCACACATGTGCACCCAGCCATACATATAAACGAACAAATTGTGAAGCATGGTAGCACACATCTCTAATCTCAGGAGACAGAGGCAAGCAAATCTCTGTGAATTCCAGATCAGTCTGGCCTACATAGTGAACTCCAAGCCAGTCAAGAGTGAAATGGTTAGACCCTGCCTCAAATAAGTAAGTAAATGTAATTTTTAAAACAAAATAAAATAAAAAGAATAGTCAAGCTTCTTGGGCTCAGTAATCAACTTTGGAGCATTGAAGGCAGGATCTAGCTCCAAGGCCACCTCTCCCAGGTCCAGCTACGAGCAGTCAGGCAACCCCAAGACATGCTGATAATGGCCCACTGAATGCCTCTGTGTCATCTGTCTTGTCTGTTATCCTCAGATTTAGCTTGTTCTTCCTTCTGAAGACATGACACCTCTCCCTGACACTTATCCCCAGTCCCCACCAAAACTGACTCAAGTAAAACAATATGCCTTTGTCTCCATTTCAGAGTTTCATGGTTCCTCACCTCTCCCCCAGTTTTCAAAAGAGGAGAAAGAGGTCTGTCCATAGCACACTCTGAGAAGTCAATCCTAAAATTCCCTGGGTTGCTTGGCCAGTCCCCCTCCCTAAATTGTCCCGCCTTACCATTGTCCTTACTTCTGGCAGTTTGTCCTGGGTTCCAAAATCTGAATCACTTGTCTTTACCTATTCACTGGGTCAGTTAAGAAACATTTCAAAACCCATCATACACCAGCCACTAACCAGGAAGCCAGGAGCAAATGAAACAGGACCCAGTAGGCCGCACAGGGAAACAACAAACCCACAAACCAATAAATAACCCATGTCTCAAGGTAGCCCATGTGCCATGGTTTGAATATGAAATGTCTCCCCATAGGCTGGTGTCTTTGAACACGTGGTCCCCAGATGGAGTTGGGTCCTTGAGGTAGGACTTAGCAGGAGGAAGTGAGTCATTATGAGTGAGCCTTGTGACGTCTTAGCCTGGAGCCACTTCCTATTTTCTCTCTCCTTCCGGACTGTGGATGCAATGTGACCAACTTCCTCACTCTCCTGCCGTCCTGCCTTCCCAAACACCATGGAGTGTATCCCCTCAAACTGTAAGTCAAAATAAGTCCCTCCTCCATAAAGTTGCTCCTTGTCAGGTATTTGGTCACAGCATTGAGAAATTAAATAGAACAAGACAAGATGACTCTATTTGATCTGAACTGTGATGACAAAATGGAGCTATTTGAAAATCTGCAGGAAGAACATTGAGAAAGGAAGGGCAGTGAGTGTCAATTCCCTGAGAAAAAGGAACAAGGTTTACTTGGTGTTAGTTAGCCTTCCACTGCACTGAAAGAAAATATCTTGAGATGATAGCATAGGTAAGAAAGATCTGTTCACAGTTTCAGGGGTTTCAGTCCATGGCCACTGACTCCATTGCCTTGGGCCTGTGGCAAGGCAAACATCATGGTAGGGAGCAAGCAAATACATGGCAGAGCAGAGTTTTCCACCTCAAGGTGACCAGAAAGCAGAAAGAGAGAGAGAAGAATGACCAAGGTTCTCATTTCCTCTTCAAATCTGCCCTTCCTTCCACTAAGCCTCACCTCCTAAAGGACCACGGGCCAAGGACCAAGTCTTTAAGCACATGGCTTTGAGAGACATTTCAAACTCAAATCATAGCATCTTATTGCAAAGAAAGAAGAGAAGCTGGTGTGGGAGGGAGACTAGATGGAGATGGAATCTGCCGTGGCTTGAATGAGAAATGTCCCCCATAGGCTCAAGTATTTGAACACTTGGTCAGATAGCGGCACCATTTAGGAGGGTCACGGAACCTTTAGGAGGTGTGGCTTTGCTGGAGGTGGGCTTTGAGAGTTCATAGCCTCGCCCCACTTCCAGTTCGCTCTCTCTGCTTCATGCTTGCCATTGAAGATGTGAGCTCTCAGCTTTCGGTTCCTGCCACCACACCTGCTGCCGTGCCTTCCCACCGCGATGGAGCCTTATTCCTCTAGAACCATAAGCCAAAATAAACTCTTCTGTAAGTTGCTTTAGTCACGAGCAAGAGAAAAGTAACTAGCACAGAGTCCAGGAGGCAGGCAGGGACTGTGGGTTCCCTGGGACCTCAAGGGCAGAAGAAGAAACCACTGGAGGCCACAAGCAGGGGGAGATCAACTCTGTGCTTCAAAAGGACCACTGCAGGGAGGACAGTGGACTCTGGGGCAGAGACGGAAAGGGAAACAGGCAGACCTGGGATGGTTTCTTGGCTGAGGCTGGTAACCACAAAGACACTATAGGAGGCTGAGGATATGTTCTGGGGATAGAGCTGCCAAACCCCTAGAATAAGGTAATAAACTCAATGCCTGAGTACTCCATCCTGGCATAAGTAACAGTATAAGTATGTGCACGGGTGTGCGCATACACACACACACACACACACACACACACACACACACACACACTCAGCGTCCTCCTTATACAAACAGGACAGAGCAGTGACTCAAACCAAATCTGGATTCAAATTCTACCTCATTTGCTTACTAGCCACAAAACTTGGTGCAAAGTCTCTGAGCCTCTCTACTTCAAGCTTTTCATGTGTAGAATGGGGCAACAGTTAAAGCACCCTTGTATAAGTTCAGTTAGTTACTATATGTGAAGCATTTAGGGAAAGTCGCCTGCCACATAGCTGCCTGTATATACCTGCTGTGACAGATTAGCAGACATTCAGTGGCTTAATTTAAAACAATACAACTTTATTCTCCAACACCCCAGAGGCCAGAAGTACAGTCAGTTCCATTCCTCAAACCGTGAGGTAGGTTGGCAGGGCTGGTTCCTTTTGGAGGCCCCCACTCAGGGAACAACCTATTCCTTGCCTTCTTTGGCCTCGGGAGGTTGCATCATCTCACGGCCCCTCCCAGCTCTGTTCCCACTGTCACGGTGCCTTTCCTTTTGACTTTCTCCCTTTGTAGAGGGACCCTTGTGGTTATAGAACGGGCCCATCCAGATAATCCAAAATCATCCCAAAAGTCTAGTTTCATCATGTATGTACCTGTCTTTTGCCATGTAAGATAATTCACATGTCTGGACATTAGGATGTAGATGTCTTTGGGGGCCATTATCCAGTTCACGAGATGAACAATAAATAAAAGTTAATTGCTATTATTATCATTATCGTGGTTATGATTTGCATGACATCCCTGGAGCATCTTCCCTTTCCCCTCCAAGCTATATGGAATGTAGAGGGGGATGTGGAAAGGCCCTTAGTCCCCTGGAGGCCCCTGAGGCTGAGCTACAAACTCAAGGCAGATCTGAGGCCATGCAGGCTGAAAGAGTCAAGCTCCAATCACACTCTAGTCCTGATCAGGAGGTGGATAGCAAGGCAGATGAACAGGAATGTGCTCCTTGGCTGCCCACAGAGTGACTGGAAGGCACAGCCACAGGCTTGGGCTTCTTGATAATGCTGTATTCTGTGGACTCCTCGTGACTTGAGCTGGGAACATGGCTGACCACATTGCCATAGGTTGGTTCCTGATCCAAGGCTGCCAAAGACACAGCTGCATAGCAAACCTCCCTCGGAAAAGGAGCCTACAACAGAAAAGGTCGTGAGGTCAGAGAGGCTAGAGGGAGTCTGTGCCCATGTGATGAGACAAAAAAGCCCCCACCCCCAGGAGGCATGTTGGGACTCTGGCTTCCCTCTACTCTGAAGGCACCCCAGCAAAACTACATCTACAACACAAGGCACTCCCCACCTCTGCCCCAGGAAAACCATTTTCTACAGGATCCAAAGCCACTCTCTCCTGCGCAGTGAGGACCACATTAGACAGACCCAAGTCCCCAAGACTGAGATGTGGTATGGTGATGCTTCTGAAACCTGCTAGTTCCTCAGGAAAATCTAGCAATAACTGTGGTTCTGCCCAACACACACCCTCCTCAGCTTCATCCACAAGGGCACAAAGCTTGTTCTCAAAGGGGAGTGGGGCAATGGCAGACCCAAGTCTCTACAGATCATGAACATCATACCATGCTGACATATTCCACTTCCATTTGGCTAGAGGAGGAGGGCTTGGTGGTGGTCTGTTCCCAAGAGTTGCCAGGGAAAGTTCTGGGTTCTTGCAGAGTCAGGTTTGCATAACAGAGGTCACCCTCCAGGGACTGCAGCACCTGGGGGTGGGAACACATGCTGTGAGCCACCAGATAAGCATGTGGGCAGATTCTGTTTCTGCAGAAGGACACAAAGCCTCTTTGCTTCGCTGAGACCCCTCCCAACTCCTATGTGCTCCCCACTTCTCATTCTCCATCTTCTCCCCAGCTCCCCAACACATGCTTCTAGGTCCCATCCTCCCTGCCCTGCAGGGGCTGTGAGCCTATAAATACTTTGACATGTGGCTTGTCAGATGCATTTGAACATCGGAGGTGGAAAATGAGGACAGGAGCTAGAAGCTTGCTGGTCTCTCTGGTCTGACCTCTGGGATACTCTTACCTGTTCTGGAGGTGACCTAGTAGCTAAAAGACAAAAGAAAATCTAGAATTAGGAAGTCCATCCCTCAGACTTGCCGAAGTTCCTACATGCAAGAAAAGGAAGAAAGGGTAAGGTGTGAATGAGGCTTCTAGGCTCAGAGATAGGAGATGTGGTTTGAATTCTGACCCTTTGGATGACACACTCTGCGACACTGTTTGCACCACCTCTGAGAGCTTCCATTTCTCCACCAGTAAAAGAGGAAGACCTCAGCCCATTTGGTCCCTACAGAATTGCGCAATTGACTAATAGGGCAGCCCTGCCAGCTATGAGCCTTTCTGGGGTTGAGATTCTTCCTATAGAACTCTGGGTTTCGTTTGTAACTTTGCCTATCTCTCCACAGTTTCTCCACCCACATATCCTACAGAGGCCACCTCAAAATCATGTATTTTTCCCTAGTGACAGAGCTGTCTGGTTTCTCTTCCCCCACAGTACTTGCTTTTGCGTGGCCCATCACCTTTATTCAATACTTAATTCTAGTTCATCTTCAGCCAGGCTATGAGCAGCTGGGTGCCTGGGCCTGTCTCTTCCAGATGTTTGACCCTGCCTGACAGGTGATTGCTCTGCCCTCAAGTGGAATGCCTGAGCTGGGTCAGCACAGTATGAACTGGGTTTGCCGGGAATGGAGAAAAGAGGGACTTCTGGATTTTATACATTTTTTTCTACCCTTGTCCTTCCTCTCTGTCTACATCCCCACCCCCTGCTCTGGAGATAACAAGGAAACAAGGGGTTACCCCCAGTATTTAGCTTCAAACAACTAGACAGGCAGAAGTGAAGCAAAACTTAGACTCGGGTCATGGCCAATGCATTTCAGAGCAAAAGTGGTATAAGAGCCCAGCTCTTGGGGCCAGAAAGGTCGCTAGGCACATAAAGGTGCTTGCGGTCAAGCCTGACAGCCTGAGTTCGATCCTCAGAACCTACACGGTAGAGGGAGAAAACTGACTCCCACAAGTTGTCCTCTGAATATGCGCGCGCACACACACACACACACACACACACACACACACACACACACACAAGTAACAGAATCCTCCTGGTCTCATCAGGAGCACCCATGTGACCCTTGCTTCTGCTCCTTCTCTGCCCCTCAGCCCCTTCTACTTGGTCTGTGAGCCCTTGCTTTTCAGGGAAGAGCCTTTGCTTAGATATCACAAGGTCTGGCCTTGGCCAAGCCCTCTTTCTGTCTGACTTTACTTCCACATTCTCATGTAGTTGCAGAATATCTTCTCAGAACGCCAGTGACCTAAGATCTCCACAAGCCTCCTCCCCAGCCTGGGAGTCTGTCAGTGTGGGAGGAGGAAAGCCTGGGTCTTATTCTTTTTTTTTTTTTTTTTTTCGGTTTTTTTGAGTCAGGGTCTCCCTGTTGC